AGTCTGTTGCTGTTGTTAAAAGTGGAAACATCAAGCGGCATTTCGAGACAAGACACAAAACTTTCAATGAAAATTACCCGCCAGGATCAGCCGCGAGGACGAGGAAAAATTTGTGAACTGAAAGGACAGTATGAGCGCGCAACACGGGTGATAACACAGTCCCTTACAGCACAGCACGAGCCTACGAGTGCTCACTTCGAGTACAGTGGATTTTAGGCAAACATATAAAAAGCCTTTACTGACTCCGGAATGGTGAAAGAATGTATGGGAGGCGTTGGCAGACACGTTGTTCGAGGGTAAAGAAGGACAGCAGCTAAAACAAAAGGTTCGTCAGATTCCTTTATCATCCACAACAACAACAAGAAGAGCTGAGCTACTGTCGGAAGATGTGCAGTCCCAGCTTGACAGCGCCATCCAAAGTGCCCCGTGCATTGTGTTAGCTGCTGATGAATCAACTGACGTAAGGTTGAATAACGCTCAGCTCTTGGTGTATGTCCGATTCTATCGTGAGGAGACTAAAACATTTGTAGAGGACATTTTAGGTGTCACAGCTTAAAAACGCACACCAGGGAGAGGACATATATTTGGCCATTAAGGAAATGCTGACACAGAGGAGAATCGATCTAAAAAATGTTGTCTCCATCACCACTGACGGGGCCCCGTCTATGATGGGAAGAGAAAAAGGTGCAGTCAGTCGACTGAAAGAGGACAACCCAGAGCTCTTGTCATATCACTGCATTATCACTTGTCTGTTCTCTGCTCCACACTTTCAGAGCACCACGCAGAAGTTATGAACACCATCACCAAACTAGTTAACTTTCTCAGGGCTTCATCAGCTCACCAGCATCGTCTGCTCAGGGAGTTTTTAGCAGAAGTAGATGCTCCTGCCAATGACCTGCTCTTGCACTCCAATGTCAGATGGTTGAGTAAAGGAAAAGTGCTGGCTCGCTTTTGGAAGCTAAGAAAAGAAATTAAAGATTTCCTTGCACAACAAAAAAATCACAAGGCTCATGTGTTTTTGCACTTTTTAGAAGAGGAAAGAAACATGGACACACTGGCCTTTCTGGTTGACATCACAGGGCATTTAAATGACCTCAATCTGAAGCTTCAAGGGAAAGACAATTCTGTGTGTGACTTGGTGGCTGCAGTCCACGCTTTTCAGAGGAAACTGGACATTCTGAAAATGGATCTTGAGCAGGACTGTACACATTTTCCTTCAATGAAGGAGATACAGGAGATCAATGTCACTGCTCATTCTGACTTTATCCAAAAGTTGATTGAAAACTTTAAGGCTCGCTTTGATGGCTTTCCATTGGGAGATCAGCTGATGCTCTTTGTTAGGAGTCCATTTTTTGTTAAGAATGTTATTTCTTTCTCAAAGGAGGCAGTACATATGTACAAATGGGTTTATGCACAGGCCCTTCAAATGGAGCTATTAGATTTACAGGCTGATGTAGTGTTAAGAGAGCAATGTGAATCCTCTGACCCGGTCACATTTTGGCTGCAGACTGTGCCAAAGGCAAAGTTTCCTGTACTTAGCAAAGTGGCAGTGTACACATTAACAATGTTTGGCTCTACCTATAGCTGTGAGTCAGCCTTCTCTACGCTAAACATCATTAAGAATAAGTACCGCTCACAACTGACCAATGACCATGTGCATGGATGTCTGAGAATTGCTTTGACTCCATTCCTTCCCAGATTTAAGAGATTGGCTGCCAGTGCCCATGCAAATTTCTCACACTGAGCTAAGTTTAAAAACTTGCTTGTTTACAAAAATGTTTACTTCATTTTTTGTTGCACTAATAGAAGTATTGTTCAACATTTTTTACATAATGCATTATGAGGTGCATTATTTGTTCCCTTTTGCACTTTTGAAGTGCAATGTTTGCAAGTTTATGTGCAATAGCAGCTGTTCACAACACTGAATGTGTTTTCTTGAGTAGTTATAAAGGTAAATCATTTGCACTTAATATAAAAAGATTGTGACTTTCAGTCTTTATTTTTATGCTTCTGTTTCTGTTATTGATGTTCAAAGGTTTGACATTTGAATATTTGCACTAAAATGAAATAATACTTAAATGAATTTCAACAAAATCAGTTGAATAGATTTAAACAAAGATTTTATTGTCAAATGTTTTATAGTCATTTTGTTGCACTAATAGAAGTATTGTGTAATTTTTTTTTTATATAATGCATTATGAGGTGCATTATTTGTTCCCTTTTGCACTTTTGAAGTGCAATGTTTGCAAGTTTATGTGCAATAGCAGCTGTTCACAACACTGAATGTGTTTTTCTTGAGTAGTTATGAAGGTAAATCATTTGCACTTAATATAAAAAGATTGTGACTTTCAGTCTTTATTTTTATGCTTCTGTTTCTGTTATTGATGTTCAAAGGTTTGACATTTGAATATTTGCACTAAAATGAAATAATACTTAAATGAATTTCAACAAAATCAGTTGAATAGATTTAAACAAAGATTTTATTGTCAAATGTTTTATAGTCATTTTGTTGCACTAATAGAAGTATTGTGTAATTTTTTTAATATAATGTATTATGAGGTGCATTATTTGTTCCCTTTTGCACTTTTGAAGTGCAATGTTTGCAAGTTTATGTGCAATAGCAGCTGTTCACAACACTGAATGCATTTTTCTTTGAGTAGTTATGAAGATAAATCATTTGCTCCTAATATATTAAGATTGTAATTTTCAGTCTTTATTTTTATGCTTCCTGTTGCTGTTATTGACATTCAAAGGTTTGATATTTGAATATTTGCACTAAAATGAAATAATACTTGAATGAATTTCAACAAAATCAGTTGAATGTATTCAACTGTATTCAAGTATTCAAGATAAAGATTTTATTGTCAAAGATTTTGCCAATTTGTTGACATTGTTACAATTTAATAAAATGAAAGCAAACTTATTTTGTCGGGTGTTTTTGCATCTCCGGACCCTCGTTTACTGGGCTGATCTGGTTAGTGGACCTCTTGCCAATTTAGTTGGGGACCCCTGCTCTAGACCCTTCCAGAGCTGAAATATCGAAACTCAAAATTTCGACCCGAAAAAAAAACGACAGTGTTACCCCTTACGTTTTTTTCAGTTTTCGGGCGAAAAATCAAGTTTCTCCAATCTTCTCAAAACTCTGGATTATGATAGAGGGCCGCAAGACTTTGACCTGAGCGCAAAAATGGAGGCTCTCGACCCTTCCAGAGCTGAGATATCGAAACTCAAAATTTCGACCCGAAAAAAAAACGACAGTGTTACCCCTTACGTTTTTTTGTTCGTTTTCGGGCGAAAAATCAAGCTTCTCCAATCTTCTCAAAACTCTGGATTATGATAGAGGGCCGCGAGACTTTGACCTGAGCGCAAAAATGGAGGCTCTAGACCCTTCCAGAGCTGAGATATCGAAACTCAAAATTTCGACCCGAAAAAAAAACGACAGTGTTACCCCTTACGTTTTTTTTTTCGTTTTCGGGCGAAAAATCAAGCTTCTCCAATCTTCTCAAAACTCTGGATTATGATAGAGGGCCGCGAGACTTTGACCTGAGCGCAAAAATGGAGGCTCTAGACCCTTCCAGAGCTGAGATATCGAAACTCAAAATTTCGACCCGAAAAAAAACGACAGTGTTACCCCTTACGTTTTTTTCAGTTTTCGGGCGAAAAATCAAGTTTCTCCAATCTTCTCAAAACTCTGGATTATGATAGAGGGCCGCGAGACTTTGACCTGAGCGCAAAAATGGAGGCTCTAGACCCTTCCAGAGCTGAGATATCGAAACTCAAAATTTCGACCCGAAAAAAAAACGACAGTGTTACCCCTTACGTTTTTTTCAGTTTTCGGGCGAAAAATCAAGTTTCTCCAATCTTCTCAAAACTCTGGATTATGATAGAGGGCCGCGAGACTTTGACCTGAGCGCAAAAATGGAGGCTCTAGACCCTTCCAGAGCTGAGATATCGAAACTCAAAATTTCGACCCGAAAAAAAAACCGACAGTGTTACCCCTTACGTTTTTTTTTTCGTTTTCGGGCGAAAAATCAAGCTTCTCCAATCTTCTCAAAACTCTGGATTATGATAGAGGGCCGCGAGACTTTGACCTGAGCGCAAAAATGGAGGCTCTAGACCCTTCCAGAGCTGAGATATCAAACTCAAAATTTCGACCCGAAAAAAAAACGACAGTGTTACCCCTTACGTTTTTTTTTCGTTTTCGGGCGAAAAATCAAGTTTCTCCAATCTTCTCAAAACTCTGGATTATGATAGAGGGCCGCGAGACTTTGACCTGACCGCAAAAATGGAGGCTCTAGACCCTTCCAGAGCTGAGATATCGAAACTCAAAATTTCGACCCGAAAAAAAAAACGACAGTGTTACCCCTTACGTTTTTTTTTCGTTTTCGGGCGAAAAATCAAGTTTCTCCAATCTTCTCAAAACTCTGGATTATGATAGAGGGCCGCGAGACTTTGACCTGAGCGCAAAAATGGAGGCTCTAGACCCTTCCAGAGCTGAGATATCGAAACTCAAAATTTCGACCCGAAAAAAAAACGACAGTGTTACCCCTTACGTTTTTTTTCGTTTTCGGGCGAAAAATCAAGTTTCTCCAATCTTCTCAAAACACTGGATTATGATAGAGGGCCGCGAGACTTTGACCTGAGCGCAAAAATGGAGGCTCTAGACCCTTCCAGAGCTGAGATATCGAAACTCAAAATTTCGACCCGAAAAAAAAACGACAGTGTTACCCCTTACGTTTTTTTCAGTTTTCGGGCGAAAAATCAAGTTTCTCCAATCTTCTCAAAACTCTGGATTATGATAGAGGGCCGCAAGACTTTGACCTGAGCGCAAAAATGGAGGCTCTAGACCCTTCCAGAGCTGAGATATCGAAACTCAAAATTTCGACCCGAAAAAAAAAACGACAGTGTTACCCCTTACGTTTTTTTCAGTTTTCGGGCGAAAAATCAAGTTTCTCCAATCTTCTCAAAACTCTGGATTATGATAGAGGGCCGCAAGACTTTGACCTGAGTGCAAAAATGGAGGCTCTAGACCCTTCCAGAGCTGAGATATTGAGATACCACGTAGCATTTATGCCATTATAAATATCTCAATATCTCAGCTCTGGAAGGGTCTAGAGCCTCCATTTTTGCACTCAGGTCTAAGTCCCATGGTCCTCTATCAGAATCCAGAGTTTCAAGAAGATTGGAGAAACTTATTTTTTTGCACCTAAAAAAAACAAAAAAACGAAAGGGGTAACACTGTCGTTTTTTTTTTTTTTGGGTCGAAATTTTGAGTTTCTCTGATCTTCTTGAAACTCTGGATTCTGATAGAGGGCCATGAGACTTAGACCTGAGTGCAAAAATGGAGGCTCTAGACCCTTCCAGAGCTGAGATATTGAGATATTTATAATGGCATAAACGCTACGTGGTATCTCAATATCTCAGCTCTGGAAGGGTCTAGAGCCTCCATTTTTGCACTCAGGTCTAAGTCCCATGGTCCTCTATCAGAATCCAGAGTTTCAAGAAGATTGGAGAAACTTATTTTTTCGCACAAAAAAAAAAAAACGAAAGGGGTAACACTGTCGTTTTTTTTTTTGGGTTGGAATTTTGAGTTTCTCTGATCTTCTTGAAACTCTGGATTCTGATAGAGGACCATGAGACTTAGACCTGACTGCAAAAATGGAGGCTCTAGACCCTTCCAGAGCTGAGATATTGAGATACCACGTAGCATTTATGCCATTATAAATATCTCAATATCTCAGCTCTGGAAGGGTCTAGAGCCTCCATTTTTGCACTCAGGTCTAAGTCTCATTGTCCTCTATCAGAATCCAGAGTTTCAAGAAGATTGGAGAAACTTATTTTTTTGCACAAAAAAAAAAAAACGAAAGGGGTAACACGTAAATGCTATGTCCTCTATCAGGGCCATGGGACTTAGACCTGAGTGCAAAAATGGAGGCTCTATGGCAACCAAACGTCACTGGTGAGACAAACGTGCAATGGACAGACGGTCAGATTACGTTTTGGCAGGGGAAAAACTGATCAGAAAATGTAATGAAAATGTAACAGAAGTTGTAGAAATGTAGTGGAGTAGAAAGTATGATAATTGCTGCAAAATGTAACGAAGTAAAAGTAAAAAGTATGCGCTATTTATTCTACTTAAGTAAAGTAACGATAAGTGAAAAATGTACTTAAGTAAAGTAACAAAGTATTTGTACTTTGTTACATTCCACCACTGTATATATATATATATATATATATATATATATATATATGATCCAAAGCTGGATTTTCAGCATCATTACTCCAGTCTTCAGTGTCACATGATCCTTCAGAAACCATTCTAATATGCTGACTTGATTATTAGTATTATAGACAATTATTTTCAGGATTCTTTGATGAATAGAATGTTCTAATCTATTTATTAAATTTAGTAACTTAATAAACTTTATAAAGTCTACTGTAACTTTTGATCAATTTAATGCATCCTTGCTGAATAAAAATAATTTATTTTATTTCTTCCACCCCCCCCCCCCCAAAAAAAAAACAAAAAAACAAAACAAAAAACAAATAGAAATATAACAGAAAACAGTTACTTTAAATTGTAATAATATTTCAGCCTTGATGAGCAGAAGAGTCTTCTTTTAAAAACATTAAAAATCTTACAAATCCCAAACTTTTGAACGGCAGTGTATATTTTGATGCTATATTTTATATAAATGTCTTTGATTTATACATACTGTTATAATTCTCTTAGTACTAAAAAGCTGCAAAAATATAGCTTATTACACAAAAGTGAAGTAACGTGACAAATATGACATATTTGAGTAATTGCATAACAGGCTGCACTGTTACAAAACACCTGACTTAGTTTCACTTCTTTAAAATTTAATACTGACACATATTGTGAAATATATGTATATTTTATTTTGTATTATAAATATAATATATTTTGTATGCTTGTACGGATTAAAGTTTGGAATAGCATGTTCTACTCTGACAGAAGTATTTGCAGAATGAATAATCCATCATTTCAGTTGTCATAGCCTACTCACGTTGGTCCGTTTGGAGGATACATGCCACTTCTGCACTCTTCTGTGTACTGAAACATGAACACCAGTTATTTAGCACATATTTACAGTAAACTAGTGTTGTTTCCAACAGCACTATTTAGGTCACTTAAGTTATAAAACAGCCCAATGGTGTCTAAACAACACTGCCGTTCAGCTATTATTGTAACTTCAAATGAAACAAATCCAAAATGAATATGAAAACAGTTTATTCCCATAAACAAACACGACAGATGGTGACTTACCGGTGGTACATATTGCGCATACAAGCACATAAACATAAAAGAGAGACTAAAACAGCAGACGTTTAATTTGACGATCATGATGAGACGTCCGCAGTCTTCAGACTTCAGAAGCGTCTGTGAACACGGAAGTGCTGATGATGATTCTCGTGACAGTTCCTAATCTGCGCAAACCCAGGGAGGAGTTACCATAACAATGAGTTACAAAATAAAAGATGACTTTACACTTTCTGTCTTTGGGGTTGTCTTTACTTTATTTTGCTAACTCTAGCACAAGAGTGTCGCTTATGTTTTTAGTATTGCAACGAGAAACAATAACCGCAGAACAAAGTATTTTACCTTTCTCGAACTAAACAGGACAGGTAACATCGACTGATAAACAAATAGGCGAATGTATTGCGACATCTAACGGTTGCAGAGAGATGTGCAACAACAAGCAGTGTGTGTGTGTGTGTGTGGCCTGGCATATGGGTTTACCCATAACTGGGACAACAGAAACATTCAAAGATGGCAATATCCGAAATACTTGTACTTTAGGGGACATTTTTTTGGTCCCCATGAGGAAACCAGCTTAGTAACACCAAGTTATGATTTTGAAAATGTAAAATGCCAATTATTCTGTGATGGATAGGTTTAGTGTTTGGGGATAGAATACGAAGTTTGCACAGTATTTTTTTTAAAAAAATGTCCATGGAAGGTCCCCAAAACATGAAAACATTTGTGTGAGAATAAATATAAAATGTTGTACTTTATGTCTCACATTATTTCAAATGTTACTGCAATGACCTTGCAGTGGAAGTACAAAATACGAAATACATTTAATGTGTAAATCTTGGAGACTACAATCATTCCAAAACCAACATTTACAGCTCAGTTGCACATGATGAATTACATCTTCAAATGTGGTTCAGCAATAATATTCACATATAGGTCATTTATCAAAACCCAACAAAATCAGTTGACGACTTCAGTCAGAAACATTCTAAGAACAATTTTCTGTGGGGTTTACCATGTTTTCTCAGATTTTTTTTTCTATGTACTGTGAAAAATGTATTAAAATAAAAATGTTATGAAACAACAGAGATTTTTTTAGTTTACAACCCATTTAATTTGGGAAATGAATCACATTTACAGTTCAATATTACACCTAATTACAACATCTATAATATTATTCATTGGGGTTGATTAAAGAGTGAAGAGTCTGTTGGTTTATTTGTATAGGTTGCATAGTATTTACAGTCATTACGTTCCTATGTATATTGCGTGAATGATGGGTGGTTGGGCATATATTGTGTTTTGTGGTAGGTGGTATGCCATACGGAACCATTGCCACGGAAAATGCATTAACACACCAGTGGGGCTCGACAGCCTTAGTCACACGGGTTGGCGCGTATGGTTGGGTTGTGGAGAGTTTGTGAGATTGTGGTTAGGTCTCAGCAGCAGGAGGGATGTAGAGGTCAGTAAGCTGGGCTGAGTTGAGTAGGGGGTGACTCTGGGAAGCCAGAGTCACTGTCGAGCCCTCTTGAGGTGTCGTGGGTTAGTCGACGAAACACTGAGGACAGAAAGGTGCCCACTTGAAGACCCTAGAGATGTCCCCTACTCAGCTCAATCCAGACTGTTGTTGTGCTAGTTCACTAGGGAGACCACACTGTAGTTACAGCCATCATGTGTGCTGATGCACCAAGTACACTCCAGCCGTTAACACCAGACAGAAGGGAGTCACATCACCATATGGAAAGAAGCGTAAATGGATGGAGAAGCATAGTTTACTGTAAAGCTACATCTTAGTTCTTGCCGTGTAATGGAAATCATAGTCATGTTTCTCGTGAACAGTGAATGGTTTATTTAAAAAAAATGGCAGAGATTTTATGACAATGTGAAAATAAAACATAAAAAAGGTTTCTCCTGGTTTCACTTGCAGTATCTGTCAGCCTTCATCTTTGCTCTCCTAAAAAAGAAAAAGAAAATTAATAATGTAGTATTGTTAGCATATTCACACCATCTTCTATAATAAATCATCCAATAGGGTATATCAACATGACAACGTTTCATCCATCTAAGGATGAGCTAAATTAGAAGGCTACATACATTTATTATTCAGTATGAGGTTTGGCCGTACCTGTCCAGCAGTGCCTCGTGGAATTTTCCATCTGTTCTGGCTACTTTCAGAGAACTGCTGTCTTCCTCATTCACCCTCAGCTTCCGATCCTGAAAACTCTGGAACTTCTTCCTGTAGGCAAACATTCACATAAACATTTATTTGACTGAATGCTCAAACATCACAGCTTCTGAATGTTACTGAGGGTAAAAAACAGGCCAGTCACGATCATGAACTTTGAGCTGATGTCTGATTTTCATACAAATGTATAATTGCAATTAATGATTTAATGCTGTTTTATTCATGCCACTTACAGAGTAAGTTACTTTTTTATTTGGAATTCTATAATATATGATTATACAATTATATTAAAAAAGGCCCATGTGATTTACTTTGATGCTGTGAAAATGAATTTGTACAGTATGCAATTAATATATGACAATATAAATCATACAGTGAAGTCTGATTAAACCCACAAACCTTCATTTTGCATGAAGAAAGACTTTGACTGTATTTATGTACTTTAGTTTACAACTGTTTTTTTTTTTTTTTTTTACATTTTTTTGGCAAAATATGGCGGAAATTTAAACGGCCCAATTATTACGAATGCCGCAAATAATTGTGATTGGATAGAATAATCAGGATAAGACATTCAATCAATAATCGTGACAGGCCTGGTGATAAAAGCAAGCACTCACACGTAGTTGAGCTCACAGTTCTTGACATTACCCCTGTCTTCATCCGCAATATCGTCTTTACTCTTCACCTCTCTTTCGACGGATGAACGGATCTGTGAAGGACAGACAAGCATGAAAAATAATGTTGATATTTATTCAAGGAAAACATCAAGTGTATTTTAAAAACAATATTCTTATGTTGAGATAAAAATGCATTGTCTGTGAATCTTTCTGTCCTTCAGACAACAACAACAAAAAACCCCTTAAGCAATTAATCTTGGTGTTGACGGTTCAGGAGAGATTCACCTTGATCATCTCCTCATCTCCAGCCGTCTTGTTTTTGGCCACTATGTCTCCGTTCTCACTGTACGAGATGAAACAACTGTTTGCAGCAAGTAAGGCCATTTTACGCTGCGCAGAGCAAGAAACAAAAACGGAATGGTAAACGCTGAATTCGTACCACCAACATTATTTTCATTGAGAATGGCGAATTGATTTGGCTGCCAGAGTTACTCACATCCTGAAACACTGGTTCCCACTGTTCTCTGGAGCCGATGGCATCTGATCGACCAATCACAACACCGTCTGAGCTTATACCTAAATACTTCCCATAGCCTGACTTCAGTGCTATCCTAGAAACCAGCAAAACAGATGAGAAAAGTTAGTCACATGATCGATTCAAAAATTACCTATAGAATAATACATGGCACTTATGCATTTTAAGGTGCTGTTTGTTTTTAACTTCATGCACCCATCCCTACTCAGAACACCTAGTTATGGATATGGATATGATCTTTACCTGGAGTCTGAGAGTCTGATGGCAGTGAACTGTTCAGGAGGATCTGGACCTTCATCCTCTGTGAACAAAAGACATTTGTTTTAAACTTGTGTACACTACCATTCCAAAGTTCGGAGTCATTTATTTGATCAAAAATACAGTAAAACGTAATATAGTGAAATATTATTATTATTATTATAAATAAACTTCTATACTAGTAAGCGAAAACTAAATAATAATAATAATAATAATAAGCACATTCCTATTCCTATGTTTTCACCTAATTGTTTTCACTTCGGAAATTATCTGCTGAGTAAACACTTTAAAACAAGACCAAAGTTGGATATATATTCCAACGCATTCTTGAATTACAACCATTTAAGTTTAAATAGTGCATTTTAACCCACATTCTCAAAAAGGGGGGTAACAGCGAAGGGGTTAAAAGATTTGCTATAAAATATCAAATACAAAGAACAAAAAAAAAGCATTGGTATTGTAACTAATCTACTTCACAATAATTTATTATACCTATGGGGTCTAGCAGTATTTGCAGTTCTTTTTTTTAACCAATGAATGCCTGAACAAAAGAGCAAACTGATATTCTATTCCACCTGCTGTGAACACATGAATTATCCAAGATATTGAATACTGTGATAAGCTCAAAAAGTTACAGGACAGTGTGTATGTGTGTGTGTGTGTGTGTGTGCCTCTACCACATTTCTGGCCTGGAGAGGTGTGGTAATCATACAAATACATTGGTCATGAAGTGGGTATAAACAACAGTTACAGTCATTCTTTTCCTAATTTCAGGTTTCAACCACTAAATTAAATTGATTTTTGGGGAGCATGCACATTTTCAATCATGGTGATTCCAGAGTGATGTAGAGACTAATCCTTACAGCCAATGGTCAGTGAAAAGCAGAAAATGAAGCTGGAAAGAAAACAATCGTAAACAACTCCTTCTGGTGACTGAACTATGAAATTGCTCGGTGCTCTGCATGAATGGCTGCGGTAATAGCAACTGACGATCCATAACATTATTCAGGTTTTTAAATCCCTCCATACTGAGAGCAACAGAGAAAAAGCAGCACCTAGCCATCTCTACTTTTGAGACTTATTTGTTCCACGCTATTAGAGGGACCTTTACAATTTAAAAGGCAATATAAAAGCTGCATGGCAGAACAAAATACAGTGCAGTGTAATTGCACAGAAAGAATTGCTTGTTGCCTGAAAGTACAGCAAATATATCTTGTGAAGTATATTTTTAAAAAACATAGACCTTAAGAATGAAATATTTCAGGTTCTAGTTTATGTAAAATATCATTTTCTCCTTTCAAATCTCACCACTACATTAACCCTCTGGGGACTAAGACCTTTTTGGTCCGTTCTCTCTATTTTTACATTTGGGCTTATAAACCATATGTAATGGATATGGAACACCATGTGTTTGGTATCTATGGATTCAGAGGACCCTAAGATAACATCAGAATACATGTGATGCGTTTATAAAGGAAGGAATTTACAATAAACTAGAGAATTTCAAAAAACAAAATTTAATTTTTTTCAAATATTACTGAAAATCACACAAAAGTAGTGAACAGTTTTTGAACAAAAAAATATATTTTTCAAACCCTTTGCTTGACAGACGTGTAATTGTTCAATCAAAAGTGTTGGGATTAGGAACAACGAACAATTTCGTCATTGTGAAACAGCTGTCAGCTTTGGATTTCTCGTCACTTTACAGTAATTATTCCCGAGCTTGTTCTGAGGTAAATCTTTTACTGCTTGCCATCATAAAAGTGCTATAACAATACTTATAGTTGCTTGTATGCTATAGATATCTATATTACAATCGCTCTGTCTCTCTGTCATAAATCTCTGTATGCTCTGTAACACTCCGTCTCCTCCTCCACTCGACACGTCTTAGTATAGTACCACCCAGAGTTTCCGCTAGAAAAAATTGGTGTCGGTCAATGTGACCGGCAGAGGTTTCATTTTACGGACATTTTGATGATGTGCCAGCCAAATATCGCCTCTTAATTAGTCAAGTTGAGGAAAACTGGAGACTTAAAAAATATTACATAATCAGGCCATATAGAATGCAACATGTTATTATTAGACTAACTTTCTAAAAGATGGAAGAAAAAAAAAAAAACATGAACGTCTGATTGGTCTGAAAAATATTTTGACCACTTCGATTATTGATTTCTATTAGGATGAGCAGAGTTTCAATGAGTATAACAAAAATTGTTTACGAAAAAAACTGCCTAGCCTTTCCTTAAGGGGTCATGATGTGTTTTTTTATTATTTAAATAGGTCCCTTATATTACCTTATATAAGTTGTTTGCACAAAATAAGTCATATACTACTGTGGCCGAGAGAGCTCAACGCGCTGCAACTGAAACAAACACATGCAAATAGAAAAAAAACAACAACATGAAATTAGAAAAAAAAAGCACCTGCAAATAAAATAAATAAAAAACATCATCATGAGTTTCACAACACGTGTGCTTCAAATACAGAAACGAGCTGCAAAAGCACACTACACAGCCAAATACAGAAATGCGCTGCAAATAACACAGACCACAACAGAAATGTTTCCAGGGGAACCAAATAAGTGACTAACCCAAATAAGCGATTAAGTCTTAGCCTACTTACAGGTTGTGTCCCAACAACTGCTGCCTTGGGTTTTAAAGTTGAAACTGCTTCATGTTTTAGTAACAGTTTTCTTAAAATGCGCAGCACAGAGAGCCATGTCATTTTCAGGAACATAATCAAACATAAATTGCATCCGTTGTTGATGAACTACAGCGCCCGTGGGAAGCCTGAACACAGAAGACCTGACAGCTGGGTGAACATAACACACTCGACGAGTCACAGAAATATGGCCATGCCCTTTTCTGCATATTCCGGAGGGACGGTTGACGCAAATGTATGGGTTAGTGACGTCTAAAACCCGCTGTAGTCCCATTCGAGTCGTTTTTGTAGGCATTACACTTCCTGATTTTTAAAAGACGATATCTCTGCTTACACTGAATTTTCAGCGCTGCAACTTTGCGGATACTGTTCATGCACCAACAGCAACATTACACACTATTTAAAATGAAAAAAGTGAAATCAACCCCCCTCCCCTTTAATAGAGGACATTCTTTGTCACTCAAACTTAGTCACCAAGGCATCAAAATGGAAAATAATTCTTCTTCTTTTTTTTTTAAACGGAATATTGTCAAAATATTGTGAAAACACTATCATAGGGAACATAACACTATATTTTTTCATGTTGACTTTAAGAAAAAGTATGTTAAAACGCTGGAGTGAAAAAAAATGTCTTGAGTGAGTACTCTAAAGTGTAATATGATGTATACATGTGTACAATAATTACTTAAATGATGTTGTATGATTTTGTGTGCAAAATCGAAATGGTTTTAATGATTTTGTATTCAGTGTGTCCTTTTGTTTTTTTGTACACTTTGTATTTCTACCCATGTTTTTTCTCTCTCTCTCTTTGTATTTTTATTGTGTAAAGTGGCTAAAGAAGAAAATCAAGCTTATTATTATTATTATTATTAATATAATATACAAAATAGGATCTGAAAGTTTTAAATAGCAAAACTGAGCTGCCTTGCATCTGCAACGTTTCAGGAGAAGAATGAAGCAGATTGAATAAGCACCTTTATGTGGAGCTCCTACAGTGAAGAGTCCAGTATCCAGTGCATGAATGTAGGAGTTGCTGTGCATCTCTATGGCCACTGAGCCTGTGATCTCACCAAAACTCTTCACTGCCCACCATCCTCCTGATGAGACATTCGGAAACACGCAAAGATAAAGCTATGAGGCAGATCATACTGCAATTACAATGACAGAAACTGCACTAGCCAATTCTATCTAACATTATCCATCTATACACTATCATTTAAAACATGGGCAAAGTGACAACACATACCAACGACATCCAGCTTGTCGTCATCATCTTCTCTTTTTCTCTTCTTGTCCTTCTTTTTCTTCTTTCTGCACAATAAGTCCCAAGACATTTAACGTTACATTAGCGGAAATAATGATGATATAGCATTTTTCTATTACAAAAAAAGCTATTTACATTAATTAGAGCAATAACACGTAAGTTATACAGAATAGATACATATGAACGCAACACGGAAAGAAAGCCTTACTTCTTATCGTTTAATCCTTTTAGCACCAGTTTGGTAGACTTTACGTGTGAGTACTCTGTCATGATCACACAAGATTGAAGCAGTTTCTGTGGAATATCATACGTTGTTATTCATGCCAGAAAAGAGTTTTCCAACAGACCTGCGCGTATACGGTGGCCGAGAGGACCTCACTAAAGACGCTGCTGGAGGAAAGTGCGACACCAAACGGTCGGAGAACGGAACTGGCTATAATGGAACTAGCATCTAGTTAAAGCCGCCCTTCGAAGCTGCACTAAAACGGTCATTTGGACCTTAAAACTGTTGGAGTCAGTTGAAGTCCATTATATGGAGAAAAATCCTAATGTTTATCAAAAACTTAATTACTTTTCGACTGAAGAAAGAAAGACATGGACATCTTGGATGGGTGTGATTAGCCTAAATTATCAGCAGAAGTAGGCCTAACTAATCCTTTAACCATGTGCTTATTAAAATCACAAACATTTTAACTTGACAAAAAAAAAAAGCAGACTCATATCTTTTCTTTTGCATAATTTAAATGTTTACAATAAATCACAAACAACTTGTGTTGTTACCACCTACACGTATGAGACTGTCATTCATTATGTCGCCTTGAAGTAAATTTTTCCAGTGAAAAAAATGTAGTATTTAATTAAATGCATTTATGGTGAGATTACTACTATATTTTATTCAATTAAATGCATTTATGATTAAATGGATGTCAATTTGTATTCTTTTTGACCACAAACTATGCCGTCACTTTAATTCAGTGCGTGCAGTGCAGCAAAAAATAGACTTGGTGCGTAAACGATCGCTGCACTGCTGTATACACACCGCTCGTGGAACAGATCGCCGGACCGCACCCGCGTGCAGTGTGAAAACTCTAACCTTATAACATGGGTACGGAAGAGAAAACACACTGCAAATGGAGTATGTGTGAAAAAGGCTTTATACTTTTCAGAGAAAACATGTTGCACTGTCTCAGGTTCCAAACATGAACACTCTGGTGTTTTCCTAAAATGAATAAAGTGCTATTCAGAAACGTGTGACCAATCATCATTCTAGAAATGATTACCTGTTCCTTAACCCTCCCCCCTCTTTTACAAACATTACCCTAATGAGAATATAGTGCTTCCCTTTGTTTTCTTGCTCCCAGAGCTGTTGCCATTTTAAAATTGTACCACCTTAGGCTATAGATTTATGTTTACATGTATAGATTCCTTTTGAGCAGCTTCCGTGACCAACTTATCAACCATTCATTCATTATTACAATTAATATCTACACGAGATGGGGCACATACAAATTATATTTCTACCCCTCTCCCTTTCACATCTCTAATTTCCAGAAGAATATCATGCTGCAGGTATACTCTCGATAACTCTTTACTGACCCTTTCCCAATACTATTGATAGCTGACACAGAGTCAAAATCAAAACTTTATGGTTCTGAATCAGTCCATTGCACTGTCATCAGGATTGCATATAAATCCACTGTGAACCCACTTACGAAATTTGATGTTCTCTTAAACACTTGGACATTTCACCCCTGAACAACAAAAGTTGCTCCTACCTGTTTATTGACCCTTTGAACCATCAGTAAAAAATAATATATGGTCTTTATATATTTCTCTCACTGGAATTCATGTACCAAATTTTACCCACTCATTTGACCCATCAAATTGACCCAATAGTTAGCCTGAAGCTGCTTTCTTGGCAAACAGATTGGCATTTCTCTTGTTTCGACGAGCAAGGAACACACTGGAGAAGATCGCACAGCTCCTGTACATATTCTCAGTGCCGTAGCTTGGATTATTTCTAATCCAGTTAAAACTGACTTGATTGTAGATCTATAAACCGAACACATATTCAATTCTTGCTCTAATTAAATTTATATAAATTTGCTTCAAAGAAGGTATATGTTCCCCATTCTGTTCCAGCAAGACATCTCATTAAATTAATTTCCCTTTTACATTTTCATATAAGTCTTGAGTCAAATACCACACCAAGAAATTTAAAACGTTTACCCCTTTCCAAATTCCTACCACACAGCTCCAGTTTTATACTTTCATCTATTTTCTTTCAATAAAAATATTAACGTAGTCTTCTCAACAGAGAATCTAAAACCCCATTTCCTTCCCCAAGCCTCCACAGGATTAGAGCTTACCTTCTTCAGGGTACACTTCACATATTTCCCTCTTTTCCATAGGCTATTGTCTGCAAATAGTGACTTTCCAATTCCTGGCTGAACATTAGAAAGAAAAAAAACATCAAGCATTATGTTGAACAGCAATGGACTAATACCTTGTGGTGTCCCATTTTCTTCCAAATGCCTTCTAGATTTATCTATCCCTATTTTCACCTGAATACCTCTATTATTTCAAAAGTCCATTTCCCAGTTACACATATTTCCCCCAATTCCTAGCAAATGCATTTGTAATTAAAAGACCTTCTACCAATACCATGTCATATGCTTTTTCCACCGCAAAGAATACTGCTACAACAGTCTCTTTCTTTATCTGTGCTTTTCTTATTTCATCCTCAAGACATATGATCGAATCAATAGTACTTCTCCCCTTTCTAAAACCACTCTGACAGCAAGCCATCAACCCCCTTTCTTCAATAAAGAGCATTAGTCTTCCATTCACCAACCTTTCCATTAACTTACCTTCACGATTTCACACTTACACACAATTAGAGAAGCTAAAGTTTAATGCATGTTTGACGAGCTGTTTGGGGGGAGGGCTCCAATCTCAGAGTTTGGCCCGGACCCAGAGTACTCTCCTGTAAGTAGTAAGGACTAAGTGTGAAGAAGGGGCGGTGGAGGCGTGCTGCTAAAATGGTCAATGGATTAAGGTGAGACTGCTGAGTCTATATATACACCCCTTATCATTGATTGTTGAGTGTTATCCACCCGTGTTAATTATCTGAAAGTGCTCCTCTCGAACTTTGTTAATAAAACAGCATTAATTGAGAAGTTAGAGCAGTTGGCCTATTTGCTGGATTACTAGCATCTTTTCCCGGTGTTCTTATTTGAAAAATAACTGCCTCCTTCCATCATGAATCTTTCATTCCTATATATAATATATAATATACATACAGTATACAATTAATATAAAACAATGAAAACCTTCTGAATTCCCTTATCACTTTAATGTCTTACTGTAACAAATTTCATATTTACTGAATTGAGCTGAGCTGAATTCTTACAGTTATTCAATGCATTTCTTAACTTTCTCAGTATAAATGGAACATTATACAGTATTTATCCTCTAACTTTTCTTTCTTTTGAATATCCTCATAGACTCCTTGTTTCTTACCTACCCCTTCTTTCTTCTTCTGATAAATTACTGTAACTACCTTACTTGAGTGTTCACCATCATTTCTTCTTTCTCTAGGTTTGATATAGCCAACTGTTCTCCATCTGAAAGGACTGGATATTTCCACTCTCTTCTATTACCTTCCATTTTCTTGATCATTCCTCATACATCATTTATATTAATTGTACTTCAAATTGTGCTACAATAATCCCACCAGTACATTCTTTTCCTTTGCCTTATAATCATTCTCACTACTGCCTGTGCTTGATTATATCCTATCAAATGTTAAAAGTGAGTTATTTTTAACCTTCTAAAGGCTCTGTTCCTTTCCATACCTCTTCATTTAACACTCCACCATGGAACCGCTTTTCTTACTAGTTTTCCTGAACATTTTGGTATTGCAATCATTGCAGCCATAGAAATACTGTCTCAAATTCATTTATTTTTTCTAAAACATCATTTGTTTCTTGGACTGACCTAATATACAAATCACTTGTTTCCATAAATATCTCCCAATCTGCCTTTTTGAAAATCCATCTATCTTCTGTGCTCAATCTTACATCAACGTCCAGTTTACATATAACTGGGTGATCACTTCCAAAAGTGCCTTCTCTTGACACTTCCCACTCACACATTGAAGCCATTCTACAAGACAAAAATGTGAGGTCTAATGTTGACTCTTTACCAGTTCTAAAATCAAAGCTAGTCCTTCTACCATCATTCAAACAAGTTCCTATCATTCATTACCTCCTCAATCACATGTCCATTGGTGTCTATCTTTTCCCCTCCCCACAGTGTATTGTGAGCTTTAAAATCTCCACACCATACAACATTATCTTCGTCCCAAGACGTCATATAACTGACGTTTTGGGACGTCTTTTGACCATACGTCAATATCCGCCTTTTTAGGGCCCCTTAAACGTCGGTAGATGAGGTTATCGGATCCTAACTCTACCTAACCCTAAACCTACCCCGTCACCTAACTGACGTTAAAGGTAAAGCGTCAGTTGTACGACGGCCCGGGATCGCCATCTACCGACGCTTAAGGGGGCCCTAAAATGGCGGATATTGACGTATGGTCAAAAGACGTCCCAAGACGTCAGTTATGACGACTTGGGGTGAGACTGTGTTATAATAATTTATTATTTTTATTTTCTTTTTATCTGCCCATACTTCCACTACCACATATTCTTGTTCCTTCCCTGTACCCAACACCCTGTGGCACACCCTTCCTTATAAAGGTAGCACAACCCCACCACCACTTCTTTGCTCTATGTCTCATCTGATGACGATATAATTAGTTAAAACAAAATCAAATTTCAATGTTTCCTGAATACACATTATATCTGGCCTTACACTCATTCTAGACAGTCCATATTTCTTCGCATTTGAAGTCTAGCATGCCCAAATGCTGAATTGCTGCCTTTGTAATGATTTGAATCCTTTCAGTTTTAAATTTATCCTCAGCGGTTGCGCGAATTAATCCTCAATAAAGATAACCAAGTACTCTCTGAAACGTATGTCTGTGTCCATACATTCCTTGTTGCTATTTCCCCTCTAACACTTCTTTCATTACTCCTCTTTGTTTGCTCCACTCTTTTAACTGCTTCTGCACAAGGATCTCTTATCCCTCCTTTCCACACTCTGAATCTCAGTCTCCCTTCTCATTACTTCACACCCCCAGTAGGCCGCACTGTGTCCCCTCCACAATTACAGCATTTAGGTATTTCCCCCTCTCCACATTCCCCATAGTCATGCTCCCCACCACATTTAGCACACCCTTTAGTTCCTTTACCCAATTTACAGTACATGGCCAAACTTCTGACACTTGTAACATCTTATTGGCTTATGAGTGAACTCTCTTT